CATACATACATACATACATACATACATGCATGCATGCATGCATGCATGCATACATGCATGCATACATACATACATACATGCATGCATGCATACATACATACATGCATACATACATGCATACATACATACATACATACATACATACATACATACATACATACATACATACATACATACATACATACATACATACATACATACATACATACATACATACATACATACATACATACATACATACATACATACATACATGCATTCATACATGCATACATACATACATACATACATGCATTCATACATGCATGCATACATACATACATACATACATACATACATACATACATACATACATACATACATACATACATACATTCATACATACATGCATGCATACATACATACATACATACATGCATACATGCATGCATACATACATATACATACATACATCATACATACATACATACATACATACATACATACATACATACATACATACATACATACATACATACATACATACATACATACATACATACATACATACATACATACATACATACATACATACATACATACATACATACATACATACATACATACATACATACATACATACATACATACATACATACATACATACATACATACATACTACATACATACATACATACATACATACATACATACATACATACATACATACATACATACATACATACATACATACATACATACATACATACATACATACATACATACATACATACATACATACATACATACATACATACATACATACATACATACATACATACATACATACATACATACATACATACATACATACATACATACATACATACATACATACATACATACATACATACATACATACATACATACATACATACATACATACATACATACATACATACATACATACATACATACATACATACATACATACATACATACATACATACATACATACATACATACATACATACATACATACATACATACATACATACATACATACATACATACATACATACATACATACATACATACATACATACATACATACATACATACATACATACATACATACATACATACATACATACATACATACATACATACATACATACATACATACATACATACACATACATACATACATACACATACATACATACATACATACATACATACATACATACATACATACATACATACATACATACATACATACATACATACATACATACATACATACATACATACATACATACATACATACATACATACATACATACATACATACATACATACATACATACATACATACATACATACATACATACATACATACATACATACATACATACATACATACATACATATACATACATACATACATACATACATACATACATACTACATACATACATACATACATACATACATACATACATACATACATACATACATACATACATACATACATACATACATACATACATACATACATACATACATACATACATACATACATACATACATACATACATACATACATACATACATACATACAGAAAATTAAAAGTAATTAGAATGTATACATGATTAAATTGCATCGAATTGAAAATTCAAGAAGATATTTACAATTAAACCATGACTAAAATGAAAGAAATCAAAAATCAAATACAAGTGGAAAAATGATGATTGTTGGAGGAGAATGAGCCTAATTATCTCAAAATATCTTTCAAATAAAATCTCAATTCTCAATTTCCCTCTAAAATTTTATATTCCCTCTAAATTTCTCAATTTCCCTCTAAATTTTCAAAATTTCCTAATTTCCCTCTAAATTCCCAAATAAAATAAAAAAAAATCACACAAAAAAATATTTTTTTTAAAAAAATTTCTCCCACCACTCATTTTGAATAATAATATATATATATATATATATATATATATACTATATTAATGTAAATTATAGTTTATAAACTATATACTTTTTATAGTTTATAAGTTTATGCATATATAGTTTATACATATATAGTTTATATATATAGTTCATATAAACATAATTTATATATATAACTTATAATAATTATATAGTTTATAATATAAATATAGTTTATATAAACTTATATTATATATATTATATTTTTTCAATTTTTTAAATGAATGCGATTTACTATATTTTTCATTATTTCTTCACATTTTGTATTTATTTCGATTTAATCCTTTTTTGTTTTTTAATTTATTTCAATTTTAAGTCTTTCACTTTTATATGTATTCAATTTAGTCCTTAAATTTATATTTGCATCTTCATTTGGCCCATTGTTAGTTGTTATTTATATTTTTGTAACTGGCTCATAACTTTTTAAATGTGTTTAATTTAGTCATTTTTATATTAATTTAAACCTCACATTTTAAATTTATTTCGATTTAGTCCCTTACCTATGTGTGCTGTTTAATTTATATTTTAAAAATTTATTTGTAATTTTAAATTTCTTCAATTTTGTCATTAAATTTATATTTTTTTACAAAATTGATCCATGAATATTTATTTTTCTCTTAATTTACTCGAAATCATATACAATTACAATTTGCAATTCAACAATCACGAAAGATGACAAAATAATTAATCCAAAAATAAAAACGACCCGACCTGAACTCAATCCGTATATGGTAAACATCCGACCTGAATTTTATCTGTCAATGATGTGACCCGATCTAAACGAGATCTGACTGAAGTCCACCGAACCTGAATTAACCTTGTATTTATCTGCTTCGGACCTGAACGGTTTTGACCTGAACTGACATCGATCCGAACTGAAAATGACCTGACCTGAACCCGATCTGGATATGGTGTCAAATCAACCCGAAAATAACCCGAACTGATTTGACCTAACCTGAACCCGATCTGGATTTGGTGTCAAATCAACCCGAAAATAACCCGAACTGATTTGACCTAACCTGAACCCGATCTGGATTTGGTGTCAAATCAACCTGAGTTGACCTGTATCCGATTTTACCCGACTTGCCAAGATCCGACTGAAACATGTCCGATTACCTAATTTTACAGCCTTATGCATTACCTGAAGATGAGATTGCAGATTCGAAGAAATTACGAGAATGTCTAGAGAATCCGAAGAACATGTCGCGAACCAACCCAACAGAAACTTACGGCAAGTTGGTGCTTGAAGACAGCTGCTTTGGCCACCAAATTCGACCCTTCTCATTTTTCAATCCATTAAATAACAAGCAACTTGTTAATTGTCTGCATGAAAGTTATGGATTTGATTATAATATAGATTTAGATATTTGGTTTTTTTTAAATAATATTAATGATAAATTTATCATTATGAATTAGTTTTAAAGGAAGTCGAAGGGTTATATGATTGATTTGTGAATTTTTTTCCGATAAAACAAACATCAGATTCACGTCCAGGAGATTGAAAATGGCTGAACTAGAAATTTTAGGGCCCAATGGTCATTGGTGGTTGACAATTAGCGACGACCGTATGTAAGGGATGTTGGTAAGATTCATGGGTTAAATTAGTATTTTATCTAAAGTTTAAGGGTTAAATTGATATTTTATCTAATGTTTAGGATTTAATTAATATTTTACAAAAATTTTAAGCGTCAAATTAAAAATTCACCCCTTTTACCAATTACCAACGTATCACGTCACCAAACTAATAAAATTTATTGTACAAGTAATCAAAATATTATAAATCAAAAGCTTAATGATCGAATTATTATTATTTTTAAATCAATTAACAAAAATGAAACGAAATTGACCATTTTAATAGTTTATCCTTGAACCCATTAACTGACATGAATGGTAAAGAGAATGTTGATCTCTCCGGGTCTCGAGTTCAAACATTTGTGTTTATAAAGTGTGTGTGCGCCCACTTTCAATGGATTAAGAAAATTTTAAACAAATATTACGTTATAATCACCCCAAACTAATAGAAAAATAATAGTTTACCCATAAAATATTGTTAAAATTGGTTTATTAAGTTACAAATTTAAATGAATTAAGGCATATAATATAATCTTTAATTGAGTATAGTATGTTAGAGATTTCAAGTTGAGATAGATTAAAAATCTACTTTTTTTATGAAATTAAATATTGGACCTATTCAATCACGGATTTATTGGGGTATCTAAGGTACGACAGTCTAATATATGATTAAGAAAAAACGTTATCAGAAGTGTTAATATTTTTTAACATTTCCGGTAAAGCGCTACCTAAAACATTATTTTTTCTACAAGAAATATTAATATTGGGCGTTACCTAAAATATTATTTTTTAACCGAAAATTAGGGTGCGAAATTAACATTTCCAGTATAAAAATAATATTTTAAGTAGTATTTTACCAAAAATATTAAAAAATATTAACATTTTCGATAGTCTTTTTTAATCGTATATTAATCTGCCGTATGACAGAACTACCCTCATTGGTTTCTCTTCTTAGCAAACCAAAATTGGAAAATTTACACTACTTGTTCTTTTTTTATTCATTTTTTCATTTAAAAAATTCCAAAAAGGACAAAGCCAACCAGAATTGAAAAACTTTTCTAGTCCTCTCACTTTCATAATTGAAAAACTTTTCTAGTCCTCTCACTTCCATACTTTTAGTTTCTTTTTATTATATATATGCTTGAAGTCTAAATTTCTATAAAAATAAAAGATGTAAACATTAACGACTAAATATTTTATTATATCAATTATTTAACTGATTTGAGTAAGAAAATTGTAATCTTTTTAATAGTCTAGTGACTGTGGGTGTAGTTTACCCAAAATAAAATAGCAATACTGTGTGCTTAACTGATACTAATGGCTAACCATTGAAAACTTTTATGTCGTCTTCTAAGGCCAAAGGGCCTACTTTTCTGCAACTATTAGTCTATTACAAGTGGGAGGAACACCCCACGTTCCGTAGGTGATGAAATGTGTATTATATATACCTATGGACACCGGCACTTCATCTTCTTCAAATCACTTCCAAACACTTTGCCTTTAGTTTCAGTTCGAAGCAGCAACTTCATCTTCTTCAATGGCAGAATCAATTATTTATGACATCATCACCAAATTGAGCTCCCCTCTTGTGCAGCAACTTGGCTTGTGGTGGAATTTCAAAGACGACCTTGAGGACCTCGAAAGCATTGTGTCTGCAATCAAAACTGTGCTTCTTGACGCCGAAGAGCGATCTACAAGTAACATTCCTGTCAAGCACTTCCTTGAAAAGCTGAAAGATGCGCTTTATGATGCCGATGACCTTTTGGATGATATCCATACTGAAGCTTTGAGGAAAGATCTGCTGAGTGGGAACAAGCTGACGAAAGAGGTACGCGTTTTCTTTTCAAGCTCAAACCAGGTTGCTTATGGTCTCAAAATGGGAAGTAAAATCAAGGCCATTAAGGCCAGTTTAAGTACCATTCAAAATCAGACCAAGTTGTTAAAATTAGTACCGCGTGAGTATCCTATGGAGACGCCTTTCATGGCCAAAAGGAGGCAGCAGACGCACTCTTTTGTGCCTAAAGATAAAATAATAGGGAGGGACGATGATAAAGCAGCTCTTCTGAAACTCTTGTTAGAGTTCGACAGTGAAGAGAATGTTCATATCATTCCAATTGTGGGGTTCGGAGGGTTAGGCAAGACTGCATTGGCACAGTTGGTCTATAATGATGAAATGGTTAAAAAGCACTTTGACTTGAGGATGTGGGTATGTGTCTCAGATGTTTTTGATGTGAAAACAATAGTTGCAAACATTATTAAATCTGTGACTAACCATGCACCCGATCAAAATCTCGAAATGGATCAACTGCAGAAACAACTTCGAGGTGAAATTAATAGGAGTAAATATTTGCTTGTTTTGGATGACATTTGGAACGAGGACAGGGAACGATGGGTTAGCTTAAAGAATTTACTGATAGGTGGGGATAAAGGAAGTAGGATAATAATAACTACTCGCTCTCACAAGGTAGCAAAGTTAACTAGTAAATGCCAACCCCATGTTCTTAAAGGCTTGTCTGAAGATGATTCTTGGTCGTTGTTCAAAGATATAGCATTTGAGCAAAGATCTGCAGACTTGACAAATTCAGGCTTTGTGGAGATAGGAAAGCAGATTTCAGAAATGTGTCGTGGAGTTCCTTTAGTCATAAAGACTATAGCTGGTACCTTATCTTTTATAGAAACCCAGAATGAGTGGCTTTCTTTTAAAGATAATGAACTTGCTAGAATATCCCAAAAAGATAATGAAATTCTATCTACACTTAAGTTGAGTTATGATCGTCTCCCATCTCATTTGAAGAATTGTTTTGCTTATTGTAGATTATACCCAAAAGATCATAAAATTGATGTGAAAACACTTGTTCAATTTTGGATTGCACAAGGCTTTGTAAACCAATCAACTTCGAGTCAACCACTAGAAGATATTGGGTTTGGGTATTTTAAAGGTCTAGTTGAAAGAAATCTTTTTCAAGAGGTAGAAGAAGATGACTTCCGGGGAATAGTATGTAAAATGCATGATTTTATGAATGATCTAGCTGAATCAGTAGCAGGTAGAGAAGGCAGTCTTTTAAATTCAAATTCAAGTACAAGTGAACTTGATGAGAATTGTCGTCACTTATCTGTCGATTTTTCATTAATTCCTTTGCAAAAGGGAAAGAAGTTGCGAACTTTGTTGAAATTCTCGAACAAGAAAGTTGAAAATATGAGTGATGCGAGTTGGAATTGGATAGTTTCAGATTGTAGATGCTTGCGTGTGTTGGAATTGTGTGATTTAAATCTTTTTAGAATTCCAGGCTTCATTAAAAAGTTGAAACATTTGAGGTACCTTGATCTCTCTTGGAATCCTAATCTTTTTTTCATCCCCAAGAGCATTTGCAAGATGCAAAATCTGCAAGTGCTGAAAGTTGAGTTTTGTTACCGGCTTAAAAGATTGCCAAAGAAGATTGAAAAATTGGTGAATCTCACCCATCTTTCGTGTGCTGGTTGTTGGGGGTTAACTCATATGCCTAGTGGAATAGGGAAGCTGACTTTGCTTCAGACATTAAGCATGTTTGTTGTGGATAAAGACGGTGCCCATGGTGCAGCAGCAGCAGATCTAAGTGAATTGGGTGGCCTTAACAGCTTAAGGGGAGAGCTAATAATAAAAAATTTGGGATTCGTGAAAAATGCAGGAGACAAGTTCAAAGCTGCAAATTTGAAAGAGAAGCAACATCTGCAATCATTGGTTTTAGAATGGAGAGGTGATATCAATGATGATGGCAAAGAAGATGATGATGATGAAGAGAAGTCACTAAAGGACCTCGAGCCCCATCCTAATCTGAAGAAGCTCCATTTGAGAGGATGGAGGGGCAATGCCAAGTTTCCAAGTTGGTTTTCTTTGCTCACAAATCTGGTGGATATTCGAATAAAGGGTCCAAGCAAATTTAAACATCTCCCTTCCTTTGCTCGATTGCCTCATCTTCAACGGCTAAAGATTTCCAAGTTGACTGAGCTGGAGTACATGGAAGATAATGGCCCTAGTGGAGGACATGCAGATTCAGTATCATTCTTCCCGTCGCTTAAGCTTCTTCACCTCAAGGAATGCCCAAATATGAAGAGTTGGTGGAGGAACAGCCCGATCGATGATGATAAGGATGACGACAAGGATAGAACAGCATCAACCATGGCATTCCCTTGTCTTTCCAGTTTATGCATTAAAAATTGCCCTTTGAGTTCAATGCCTTTGTATCCATCAGTCGAGGATGAGCTGATCTTGGTGAATACCAGTTCAAGGCCATTAAAGCGTTCGACCTCTTTTGTTACGACGCCATCAAGTTCAACCTCTTTTGTTCCTTTCTCCAAATTGAAATCGTTCGAAGCGGAGAATATCAAAGAACTGGACCACGACATGCTAGATGAGTGCCTGAAAAATATGACTTCCCTTAAAAGGTGGGGTATTGGTTCTTGCAGTTGGCTCAAGTCATTATCTGGGTTGTTGCAACAGATGACCGGTCTCACAAGTTTAAAGATAAAAGATTGCAAGGAGCTTGATATAGAGGGCATGCAGTGGGAACCCCTTAAGAATCTCTCTGGTTTGGAGATCGATAATATTCCGCAGCTCGTGTCTCTCCCCCTTTGGCTTCAACATCTGGATCAACTGAAAACATTAGAAATCGAGAATTGCAATGGATTGAGGTCACTCTTTCCTGGCTTCCAACATCTCACTTCCCTCGAAAAGCTTCGAATAATCGACTGCACGGAGCTGGAGTTTTCTGCAGATGGCATTCAAAAATTCGAAGATTATACGAGCCTACGCCATATACGCCTGGAAAATATTCCAAAGTGTCAGCATCTTCCGGAGTGGCTTCAACATGTGACAAATTTGAAAGAGCTTTATCTCATATTTTTGCCCGGTTTAACATCGTTTCCGGATGACCTGCGTTGCCTAACCAGTTTGGAACAGCTACATATGATACACATTTCCAAGTTGCCCGATTGGCATCAGATCGCTCACATTCCTCGCATTTGGGTGGATTGTGTGAGTGCCCTCCTCTCCTTTCAATCATCCATCTATCCACTTTTACAACAACATATTGGGTTTTCTATTTTCAAGCTGTGAATACATCTCTTGTTTACTATCTTCAGGTTCAGGTGCAATAGCTTCCGAAGCGCATTCGAGTACTTCAGGAATTTATATGCAGAAAAAGAGGAGGTAGTTTATCTAATTGCTTTAAACTTTGAATTCATAATAATCTCAGAAGTTACTGCAATCATCTAATAATTGATGTTCCTTTTTGTCAGCATGAGCTCAATGGAAGACATACATTCTTCAAGACTTGATCCATTCCTCAGCAGAGGACATCAAGATTTCCGAAAGAGGGGATATACGAGGAAGGCCTTCGAATTGTCCATGTTTGATGTTCAGGGGAAGAAGTGCTAAGAGAGAATATATGCATTTTCATGACTAGGGACATTATTATGTATGCAATATGCAGATTGTTCATACTAGGTGTGCAAAACTGAGCCTGCAACAATTATGAGATCGGTTGGGCTTTTATCATTCTTTGTACTATGATCTTAATAGTGGAATTTTCTCTGGGCAAGGCCCCGCAGATGTAGGTGTGACACCGAACTGCGTAACCAATGTGTTTGTGTTCTTGCGCATTTTGTGCTTGTTACAGCAACTAAAAGGATAACTATCAACCAGTCATGCACTTTCAACAAGTGTTTCTATATTTTGATCCGGCTCTATCTCATAAGGATAATCTCTTAGCAGCTTGAAACTGTGCCAAATCTTCCAAAGTGAAGTCCTCAGCTGGCAACTTGCCTGCACCATTGCACCAATAGTTCCCACTTGCCACGATTAAGGTGAGTTTGGATATTTTCACGTTCCATTCGTTCGATGTTTGAACATGTTATGATTTATGGGAAATCATCTTGAAGTTGCTTTCAATTTTGTTAGATTTAATTATTGTTGGTCATTCATGTTTATAGAATGTTCGATCCCTAAACGACAACCTACGTAAAATTCGAATGACACGTTTATCTTTTGATTTGTCGTTTTTATGAACGTTTGATCTTTAAATTAAAATTGTCATAAGATTTGAATGCCGCGTGTTATCTTTTGATTTGTCGTTTTTGTAAAATAGATTTTAATGTTTTAAGTGTATATATAGTCCATCTTACTAGTGATGATATGTCTCTATATTAAGATACATTATGAAACTTGATTATACAAATTTTATATTAAGATACATTAAGATTGTTTAATTAATTGTACCCAAATCCACTTATGATAATATTCATATTAATTACTTCAAAAAATTTCTCTGATTATTGTTGATTTTTTATATTTTGTAGGATACCATGAATTCACCAAACTTTGATGAAAACCTATATTTTCCCTTGAGTCCACTAATGACCTTTCCTTTGTCACCTCTATTGGACCCTCACCTTGAACCAAATGCAACATCCATCAATGGTGGCTCAGATGATCTGTGCATCAATGGTGATGAAATTAGCTTTGGTTTTCTTAGTAATGATGCACAAATGAACTGAATCGAGGATCCCGCATCGATCAATCCGAATCCAATCGAGACCCCTTATAATGTGACTCAAGAGATGGTGGATACTTTCTTTCCATTGGAGACAAATGGTGAAGGTGAAACAAGCATGGACAAATCCAAATGTGTCAAAAGGAAGCCTTCAAATAAGCAAAATCAAGGTGATGCAGAAAGGTTAGAGTCCATCACATTATTCGCTCTTTTATTTATTTATGATCGAGGTCTTATTCGATACAGAGAAACGACTGCTTATGATAAGATTCGAATATCAAGCTTAAGTCTAGTGTAACATGGTTGTAGGAAAAATTAAGGATTCGAAAAGGTCAAAGTCTTCTATTAGTCTCTGTATTATATTATTTGAAATTTGATTGGTGGAAATAATGAAAATAGGGGTAAAAGTAAGAGAAGGCGTCAAACAAGGCAAGAACCAAAGGTTTTTGGTGTAAGAAGCTCTATATACCGAGGAGTATGCAGGTCTCATACTATCCCATCTTTATTTTAGTTTACACTAGTATGCAAATACATTGTATCCTTTGGTTTCGGAATGCTTCACTACCGAGTTCTAGTTCGATTGGTATCGTTATTATTATAGTAATTTGGAGGCTTTGGTTCGAGTCTTTGAGTATGCTTAAACGTGGAACAAATCGAATTTACTGCAGACACAATGAGCGATATGAGGCATTTTTGTGGGATAACGACCAAGGACAAAAGCCTAGGACAGGTTTCTTAGTTTCTTTTGTTCTGTTTTTCTGATGTTTTTACTATTGGTTATCATCGTCTTATTCATTACTAACCCTTGTGTTCTTATTTTTGTTCTTGTTTTCTTCAATACATGCAGTTTATATAGGTGAGTGATGGGTCATTCATTGCCACTTCTTTCACTGATTTTTCAATTACGATGAATATCGATGATAAAGGGAATCGAAAATGGCAAAGAGCTCACGATTTTTCGGGACTTTGTCGTTTGGTCTGATAGGTGGATATGATGATGAAGAATCTGCAGCAAGGGCTTATGATTTAGCTGCTCTGAAACTATGGGGCAAATCTGCAAACCTCAATTTCCCGGTAATGCTTCCTTTAACGGCACACATATGATATACATAGGGCTACTTGTAGAAGATGTCCCCGGATTGTTGTTCTGATTTTAAATTGATCGCTAAACTTTAATATCGTTATCGAGTCCTCTTATTGCTGTTATTGAGCTAATTGCAGAAGGCCTAGTATTACAAGTTTGATTAATCAATGAAAACTAATTGCAGATGAATAACTATGAAAAAAAATTGGAAGAGATGAAGTATTATTCGAAAAATGAGTATTTTCGGACCATCAGAAGGCAAATTTATAATTACTTGAAGAATTTATTCCAATTTTCCATTGTGAATTTAAACTGCTAAAGGTTTTCATTTCATGGCTTCAAACATCACAGAATTTCAGAAAGAGTAGAGCCTTTGCAAAGGGTGCTTCAATCTATCGTGGAGTCTCCAGGTAATATATATATATATATCGAAATTCGGATTTGATATACTCTAATGAAAAATAATGGAATAGGAATTCGGATTACAAGAAATGGCAAGCAAGAATTGGAAAAGGAAAAGATATCAAAGGAATCTACCTTGGAACATTTGGTAAGCATCAACCTTAGCTTAATTATGATTTTAGTTCTTCCACTACACGAAATTTTTCGGATTTATATGGTTTTTGTACTTTAATTGACATAATGATTTGATTTAAACAAAAATTCAGATACAGAAGAGGAAGCAGCAAGGGCTTATGATGTAGCAGCAATAAGGCTGAAAGGTGCAAATGCAGTTACAAACTTTGATATGAATGAGCATGATCTGATGACCATTCTTCAAAGTTTGAAGCTACCAATTGGCAAAGGAGCTTCCAAGTTACTGATGCAATCTTCGATCGACGATGTCATTAGACAGAGAAGCAATCTCAGTGAGAAAAACAGATTCGTTCCTTTCGAAGATGATGAACTCGAGTTGCCATTATCGTCTCCTCAAGAGTTTCAGACAAATCCTTGTCTGGTCCAAAGATTTAGCATCTTTGGAACTGATATGAACATTGATGGGAATCTAGACTTTGATTCCAATGGGATTCAAGCCATGGATAACCAACCTCAAAATCCGAGTTTTTCAGATGATTTTCAGACGCTGTTAGGTCTCCAAGGGCAAGATTGTCTTCACTTGAACCAGGTTGAGGACGTTGTTTCAGACCAAAACCTGAAAGAAAATCCTAATGATTTCCGAACAAAATCCGTACCAGTCGATCAATCAAATGGAGGCTACAATGGAGATGGGGTTTTGCAGGGGGTTCTGAACTCGATGAAGATTGTGGATAATGCTAAAGGAGGCTGCCATGGAAGTGGCAATGTCTCAGACAATGGAGCAGCCATGGTGGAAAACGCAATCCTGGGAAATGAAAAAAGTGTCGAAAATGGAGTGAATTTGTCTGAAGATGATGACATGGACCTTCTTTCAAGGTGCTTGGAATTGTTTTATGAACTTGGACCATTGTGCTTGTAAAAATGGAATTGTTTAATGATCTTGAGAACTATGCATATTGAAGTTTTAATCATGTTGAATACATTTTATGCCTTGGGTAATTTCCTTTCAAGAAATAAACTGAGCTTTGAGTTTCAAGCTTCGAGTTGAGCTTGAGCATGCAGGGATTCCGGTACAGCTTCCGGAACAGGATCGGGACAAAACTCATCCAGAGTAAAGTTGCAGAGAATATCACTCAAGGCATTAAGAAAAACGAACACTTTACGTTCATCACGATTTTTCCCGGAATCATCTCGACTGTAATGCTGGTTTTCTTTTAAAGCCTTATTACTATCAATGCCAAACTTATCAGTCAGGCACCTATACCAATCTCCAACCTGCAGAAATAAGCATCCCTCTTTAAGACTGCATTTAATATTTTCCATATAGAAAACTACTGTGACATGATACATACAGAATCTTTTAGCTGAGCGACGGATCCGAAGCTAAGATCTCTGGCTGGAATTGGGAGAACCGTTGAATCTACAATAGGATCAGATACAGGATCTGTTGGGATCTTATTCGCTGACTCCCAAAAAATAGCATTGAACATTGCTACATCTGACCTTGCACCACACTGTTCCATAACCCGAACAAGATACATTCAGAGGGCCTCTGCTTCAGTGACACAATTAGACTTAACAAAACCGGGGACGAATGCTGAGAAATGGATCAGTTCTTGAGGAATACATGTCTTACATTGATCTCATGCTGACAAAAAGGAACATTTATTATTAGATGATTGCAATTAATTGTGAGATTATTATGATTTAAAAGTGTAAAGCAATTAGATAAATTACCACCTCTTTTCCTGCATATAAATTCCTAGAAATACTCATATGCCCTTCAGTAGCTATTGCACCCTTGTCTGAACATAGACAACAATTAAGAGATATACTCAGAGCTTGAAAATAGAAAACACAATATATTGTTGTAAAACTGGATAAATGAATGAATGATTCAAAGGATAGGAAGCACCAACCTCATTCACCCAAATCTCCGGGATGTGAGCAATCTTATGCCAATCGGCACCAATGTCCTTCCGACATCTTTCCTCCAACTGGGGATTTTCTCGTATACTTAAATCTTCCAAACTGGTTAGGCCACACATATTGTCCGGAAGCGATGTTAAATTGGGCAAATTATACAGACGAAGCTTTTGCAGATTTGTTAGATGTTGAAGCCACTCCGGAAGATGCCGACACTTTCGGATGTTTTCCAGACGTAGAACACGTAAGCTTGTACAATTATGGAATATTTGGATGCCTCCTGCCGATAACTCCAGCTCCTCGCAGCCAACTATTTTAAGCGATTCAAGGAAAGTGAGATGTAGGAACACAGGAAAGAGTGACCTCAATCCACTGCAATTCTTAATAACTAACGATTCCAATCGAACAAGATGTTGAAGCCAAAGGGGGAGAGACACCAGCTGTGGGAGATTATCAATCTCCAAACGAGAGAGATTCTTAAGGGGTTCCCACTGTATGCCCTCTAAATCAAGCTCCTTGCAATCTGTTATTTTTAAACTTTTAAGTCTGCTCAACTGTTGCAACCACACAGGTAAAGACTTTAGCCAATGGCAAGAGGCAATCACCAAATGCTCGAGAGAAGTAAGATTTTGCAGGAACTCATTGTCCGGGTCTAGTTCCTCAATATTTTTCAGGAACACATTGGAGAGAGGAAGAGAAGATGTTGATGGTTCTATAATAGTGGTGCTCATCTGAATGGTATGCTTTAATGGCATTGAACTGGTATTCACCAACCTTAGCTCATCGAGTGACGGATACAGCGGCATTGAAGTCAAAGGGCAATCTTCAATCCATAAACTGAAAAGACAAGGAAATGCCATGGTTGATGCTCCTATAACTGTTCTATCCTTGTCCCCACCCTTATCATTATCAACTGGTCTTTTCCACCAACTCTTCATATTTGGGCATTTCATGAGTGTGAGAAATGTAAGCGAGGGGAAGAATGATTCTGATTCTCCTTGTCCTCCATTGCAGTCATTATCGTGCATGTACTCCAGCTCAGTTAACTCAGAAATCCACAACCGTTGAAGATAAGGCAATTGAGCAAAGGAAGGGAGATATTTAAATTTACTAGGACCCCTTATTTCAATAGAAGTGAGATTTGTAAGTAAATAAAGCCAACTTGGAAACTTGGGATCGCCCCTCCATCCTACCACGCAGAGCTCCTTCAGATTAGGATGGGGCTGGAGGTCTTCAAGTGACTTCTCTTCGTCATCTCCATCTGATGTGTTAGGAACATAACCGCTCCATTCTAAATGCAATTCTCGCAGATGTTGCTTCCCTTTCAAATTAGCAGCCCTAAACTTCTCTTTTGCATTTCTCACGAATCCCAAATTTGTTATTGTTAGATCTCCCCTTAAGTTGTTTAGGCCACTCAATTCACTAAGATCTGCAGCAGCAGCACCATGGGAACCGTCTTTATCCACAACAAACATGCTTAACGTCTGAAGTGAAGTCAGTTTCCCTATTCCACTTGGCATATGAGTTAATCTCTGACAGTATTTACACCCAAGATGGATAAGATTCACCAATTTTTCAATCTTCTTTGGCAGTTCTTCAAGTCGGTCACAATAGTCAAGTTTCAGCACTTGCAAATTTTGTGTCTTGCAAATACTCTTTGGGAGGATCTTAAGATTTTTATTGAAAGAGAGATCAAGGTACCTCAAATGTTTCAGCTTATGAATGGAGTCCGGAATTGTATTAAGATTTAAAGAACGCAATTCTAAAACGCGTAAGCATCTACAATTCGAAATTATCCAATCCCAAGCTGAATCAGTCATATTTTCAACCCAATTGTTTCGAGAACGTAATAAAGTTCGCAACTTCTTTCCCTTGAACAAATGAATTAACGAAAAATCAATCGATAGGTGACGACATTTCTCATCAACCTCGCTTCCACTTGAGTTTGAATCTAAAATACTAATCTCTCTCCCTGCTACCAATTCAGCAAGATCATGCATAAAATCATGCATTTTACATGTCATTCCCCAGGGTAAATCTTCAACCTCTTGAAAGAAACTTCTTTCAACTAAACTTCTGAAATACCCAAACCCGATTTCTTCAAGAGATTGATTTGGATTTAATTGCTTTACAAAACCTTGTGCAATCCAAAATTGAACAAGTCTTTGTGCATTAAACCTATGGTCTTTTGGATAGAGTCTACAATAAGCAAAGCAATGCTTCAATTGAGATGGAAGGTGATCATAACTCAACTTAAGAGTAGGCAGAATTTCACCTCCATTTTGGGACACTCTAGCAAGTTCAGTATCTTTGAAAGAAAGCCACTCGTTTTCTGTTTCTTTAAAAGATAATGTACCGGCTATCGCCTTTATGACTAAGGGAACTCCACCACACTTTCCCAAAATCTGCTTTCCTACTTCCACAAAGGCTGAATTTTTCGAGTCTGCAGGTCTTTGCTCAAATGCTATTTCTTTGAACAAAAACCATGCATCATCATCAGACAAGCCTCTCAGAACATGGGGCTGACATTTACTAGTTAACTTAGCTACCCTCAAAGACCGACTAGTTACTAGTATCCTACTTCCTTTATCCCCACCCATCAGTAATTTCTTTAAGCTAGACCATTGTTCTCTTTCCTCGTTCCAAATGTCATCCAAAACAAGCAAATATTTTTTCCCATCAATTTTATCTCGAAGTTGTTTTTGCAATTGATCCATGTCGAGATTTTGATCGGGTGCATGATTAGTCACAGATTTAATAATGTTTGCTACTATTAATTTCACATCAAAAACATCGGAGACACAAACCCACATCTTTAACTCAAAGTGATCCTTGACCGTCTCATCATTATAGACCAACTGTGCCAACGCAGTCTTGCCTAAGCCTCCGATCCCCACAATCGGAATGAAATAAACATTCTCTTCACTTTCAAACTCTAACAAGAGTTTTAGAAGAGCTGCTTTATCATCGTCCCTCCCTATTATTTCATCTTTACGCACAAAAGAATGCGTCTGCTGCCTCCTTTTGGCCATGAAAGGCGTTTCCTCAGGATGGTAACGCTCTACCAAATTCAACATCTTGGTCTCATTTTGAATGGAACTTAATCTGGCCTTAATGGCCTTGATTTTACGTCCCATTTTGAGACCATAAGCAAACTGGTTTGAGCTTGAAAAGAAAACGCGTACCTCTCTCGTCAGCTTGTTCCCACTCATCTGATCTTTCCTCAAAGCTTCAGTATGGATGTCATCCAAAAGGTCATCAGCATCATAAAGTGCATCTTTCAGCTTCTCAAGACAGTCTTTGACAAGATTGCTGCTCACAGATCGCTCCTCGGCATCAAGAAGCACAGCAGAGATCGCGGAGACGATGCTTCTGAGGTCCTGCAGGTCGTCTTTGAAATTCCACCATAAGCCAAGTTGCTGCAGAAGAGGGGAGCTCAGTTTGGTGATGATGTCGAAAGCAATTGATTCCGCCATTGCTTGGTGCTGCTGCTTCGAACTGAAACTAATGCAAAGTGTTTGGAAGTGATTTGAAGAAGATGAAATGCTGCTGTCCTTTAAGTTCATAGTATATTATAAATAATCTCATTGAAGACAACGACCCATCACCTACGGAACGTGGGGTGTTTCTCCCACTAGTAATAGTTGCAGCAAAGTGGGCCCTTTGGCCTTAGAAGACGACATAGAAGTTTTCAATGGTGCAAGCCGAGTCCTTCTTTTAGGCTTCTAAATCTAATGTCAAAAACTGCGCACTCTAAAGTGGTAAGCAGCCATTATTGGTTGAATAAAATCAATAAACTTGTGCTAACTTTTCAATTTTGGTTGCCTATGAAATTGTTATTTTATTTTGGTTAAACTACAACTAGAGTCACTGGACTATTAATAAGATTACGCTTTCATCACTCAACTTTAAAAACTTATGTTTACCCTCAATGTTTTCACCTTTTATTTTTGTAGACTTTAGACTTTGGCTAGGTTTGATAAAAAGAAATTCAAGAAGGAAACTCTAAGGAGTTGAAAAGTTTTTCAATGTTGGCTTGCATTGTACTGATTGAGCCTCCAAAGAGTCGTTATCTTTCGAACTTACCTCCAAAACCCAAATAACAGAGGCCCAAAATATGAACATAGTTTTCGAACTCGGTAGGCATAGTAAACTAGAAAGAAATGCATACCACAAAGAAGCATTACAAGGTGATCGTATCGATGTCCATCAAACCAGCACAAATAAAGACTTACACAAACTGGGGAAATTTAGACTTACACTTCAACCGTGTCCCTTTCTATGATGGACTCCAACATGTAATATCGAACAAGGGGACAACTGACGAGACAAGCAACCAACTTACATAAAACCTTCACACTTATCTTGATCCGGGTTCTCTCAGATCTTATCGAGCTTCTCCGCCCTAACAACGGGGTTGGCTTTTGCAATAGCATCACGACCGGCAGCACGATAATCGAAAGGGCATTCGTGTTTGTCAGAGTAACGGTGAGCAGCACAGAAGAGGTTTCCGCACTTGCAGTTAAATCCTGTCAAAACCAACACGTTTGCAGCATCTGGTACACCTATTGGGACCCTCTTTCGGCTTCATCCCACTTGAAGTCATTCCGGATGGATCAACGGTTAGTCCAGCCGAGACTATCTTTGAGTTGGCATTTCCTGATTGTACATCCAAAGCAGCAGCCACTGCTGGTTCCTTACCATTCCCGGTTGAGCAGCCGTTCACAATGCTTCCAATGGATGCTGCTGCGAGTTGCGCCTGTTCCTGCTTCAGGATCATCTCCTTGTGACACTTGGAGCACATATTCATTGTAGCTGCACTTCCGAAGAAGCCACAGTTGTTGATGCAAAGGATGGGGCCTTCAGGGGCTTTGCACCCTGTCTCATCATGAGACTCCATATTCTCTAATCCCCTGCAAGGATGCTACCTTACTATGAGTAATCTGAAACAAAAGGAGGAACCTAAAACAAAATATAAGAAAAAAGACCAGTGGAAGGGCCAGAAGTGATTCAACTCTTCAAGATGGATATGAATCAACCTCAGTCAGAAACAGGGAGACCGAATTAGGTACCCAGAGGACACATACTAAGCATGTAATCATCAATTTGCACGATACAACATTATATCAGAATCAAGCATAAATATCATTGCTAGTTGTAGAGATATAAGGTGACGAGGATAACTAGTTTATTTACAATGGAGCCTTGAAAGAGGCAATACTGAGTCAGCTGACAATAATACAAAAAAAAAAGAGAGAAAAAACTGATTAAAAGAACAGTTATGAGCATGATGTGCAAACATCAATGTCCAAGGGTGCGGGAGCAGGATCGAGAAATAACATCAAGAGGCAGCCAACACCAATATTGCATACATATGTCAAACATACACCATCCTTGCACTAGTTTAGCAAGGTAACATGCTGATGTCATTGGGAAGACAGGTTTCCAATTGACCAAACGTTCCAGGCAAAATTCTCATAGACTATATTCCGACAGTCATGTCTGTTGTATCTATTTTACAAAGTTCACATGCTTAACAATCAGTGGATTGGATAGTGCTTTGTTATTAGTTTCCGATTCGGGTCGTGGAATAGACGCATCTTTGCCATTGCTAAAAGGCAATAATTTCCTAACTACAATGAAAATTAGTTCACTTAAAGGAAAAAAAAATAATTTAGGGCTCTTCCCTACATCTTCTTTATCAAAATTTCCCCTTCTTTCATTTTTATGAATATTATTAGCGTCAGAAGCAAGCATATATTCCACAGTACCTACTAACTAATAATTAACAGTTAGCATCTACAGCAAACCAAATTTAACAAAAACCCTACAAATCCAATTGACCCAAAAATCCCAAAGCGCAAATCAAATTATAATCAGCACAAAAGCAACCTAAATCATCAAAATGAAGAGAAAACCCAATCGGAGAATTAAATTTCTTTAAAAGAAGGGAGGAAACAATTAATTAAGAAAACCCCTTACCTGAAATTTTATTTGGCCGATCTTGTCCGACAAAATCGAACCTGGTGGTTCCTATTTCATGCAAATTAAATGAAAAAAAATAATAAGAAATTCATCCCTTCCTCATATCTAATTTCCACCAAACTTTATTCAAGAAATCAACCAACCAACCCCCAAAAAATATTGAAGTTTAACATCATCTAAATAAACAAAGAAAATTAATAAAACTAGAAAAAAAAAATCAAACCCATACCTTAATCGAAGAGTTTATCTATAATAATCGGAGAAATCCAGACGAGGAAGACGATCTTTGATCATATGATTTTTTATTTTTGAATTTTGAATTTTTTTTCTCTTTTCTTTTTTACGTTTATTTATAAAGACTACAACTTTTTCGCTGCCAGCGAATGCTTTTCCACTGAGTTATTGATACTTGACTCACTGCCCTTGGAATATTTTATATTTACAATTTATGCCATTATTTTTTTAATTACGTGGCAGTTTTTTATTTGGCAAGGAGCCAGGGGGATTTCCGGGAGTTTAGAAACTAATTGGGCTGTTGAGCCCAAATAAAATATTAGATGTTGAGTTTTTTTTTAATTTTATTTTAATTTAATCGTTTAAATCTAATTTATTATATATTGTTCTGATTAATTTTGATAATAATTATAATTTATTATTTTATATTATAATTTTATTCATATTATTATTATTATTTAGTTAATCATTGACTTTTTTCCAGTAAAAACTTAATCATTGATTATTACAACATTAATATATAGTTTTTTTGGTACACAAAAGTTTAGGTCAAGGGTGGCTCCCCAGTTCAGGGCCAGGGCATACCTATGACCTAATTGAGATTTACATAGGATTTTACAGATTGCCCACAAGATTGACGGTGGTGGGATTCGAACTTGGTCTTACAAACTCAAATTCATGAATCTCAACCACTTGTGACAACACTCATTGACACATTAATATATAGTTTACAGAAGCTAAAATAATTAAAATTTTGTTAATGAATTGAAATTTGTATTAATTTTATATCTTAATAAAATAAATGGATCAAAAAAATAGTAAGTAAATTTTATATAATTTCTTTAAAAAGTTAAATAAACTAATATGAATCTTTATTCCACCTGCAATACTTACATATAAACAGATCTTTAAAAAACTTTAATTTATATTTATTATTTTCCAAATTCATAACACTTTTATTTTTTTAATTATAATAAAATTGAATGTTTAGGGATTCTTTTAATCTAGAAGTATAGGTGAATGAGTTTTGTTTAAATATATTACAATTTGAGTGTGGATTTTCCTTTATTTAAAACTCTTTTAATATTATAGTTTTTTAAAAAAGAAAATCGATAATTTTATTCAAAAATAAAAAATATCCTAAATTACAATAAATATTTACAATCGTAATAGTAAATTAAGCACATAATTAGGATAATTTCCTATAATCATTCAAACAAAACTAGCAACTTAAGGTTACATAAGATTAAAATCTAACTAAGAAAACTCGAACAAAGATGATACAAACAGATCTAATTGTATCGACAAACGAACCACAAAAATGATCAAGCTACTAAAAGACCACTGACGAACCGCAAATCAGATTCCAGTAATGTGAAAAGCTATCTACGAACGCACAACGTGTATTCAAATCCAATCGAGGGTTCAAAGCAGTATCAACAATATAATAGATAAGTGTCATATTGATCAATTGTGGTTATGTCTAATCAAACCTTAGAAAAATATAAATAAAAACAATGACCAAATAATCGTAAAACTTGTCAAAAGTTAGAAGAAATTATATCATAAAGACAAACTTATTGAAAATAAAAAATAAAAGAAATAAATTAAAGCTCCAAAGAATTGAACACCAAGTGACGATATATATATATATATATATATAATAGTTGAAATTATAAATTAAAGCTCCATTTTCTCCTTCTTCAACATCCGCTCTCATGCATCCATCAGCTTACTGCAGAACGTAAGAAAACAAAGAAACAATCGAAGCTCCAACGAGGGATCCAAGCACGGGCAAAGTGGCGGCAGCGGCGCTAGCAGCAGGGCCCGGGGCAGGTGCCGAGACCGAGGCGGAAGCAGCGCTAGCATCAAATCCACCGGCAGAAGGGGCGGGAGATGAGGCAACGCCGGCGGCCATAACGGCGCTCATGGAGGCGGCGGCAACAATGATGGCGCAGGAAACCTTCTTCATGTCCATGGCGTGTAAAGAAAGAGAGTTACTAGAAACAAACTCACCGTAAAAGGAGAGAGACCTGCCCTTTTATCGGTGACGGATGTTCGTCGGTGTTCTTTTTATTATTTGATTTGGTGTTGCAGGTCGAAGGAGAATGGTGGTGGGGAGGGTGGTTTTATAGGTGACCTTTTATGGCTATTTTTAGTGACGGTTTTCGATTTCGTCGCTGAAAATGTTTACGTGTTTAATTATTTGCATGTTTTGCGGGATGAGCAATGCAAAATTTTGAATGGGTTTTTAACGAATTGATTTATAAATGCTAAGGATTTTAAATTTCAAAATTAAATTATATTGTTTTAATTTTAAAATAAAATAACTATTAAATTATATAAAATATTATTTTTATTTTTATTTCTTTTTAAATGATAAAAACAAATCAATCTTATTCGAATCTAGACATGATTTTTTAAAATTATTATTTAGTATATCACTAGTGAAAAAATAATTGTAAAAAAATATTAAAATAATGGAAAATGTCATATTTCTTTATTTATTAGATTTTTCAAAATATTTTAAAGACCTTTTTCATTTTCTTAAAATCATTTGTGGAAATATTCTTTTTATGTTAAAATGTACTCCATTACATAGTTTATTTTAAATATGGTTTGTTTGGACAATAAATTTTAATATTTTTTATTTTTTATTAAGTAAAGAAATATTATATTCTTAAGGTACAAGTCTATATTTAAACTCATACAAGGTGTGACAAAATAAATATCATTGACGACTCGAGTAATTATTGAATCTCATATTTTTTAAGTTATTTTAAAATAGTAGTATTAATGATTATTTTGTTTGGATAATTAATTATTAAAAATTTGGTTATTAGAATTTTTATTTTTAAAAATAATTATAAAAATTAATAAAATTGAAATATGTTATATGAATATCATTATATTGAAAACTATATAAATATTTTAAAAATATAAAATATAAAAAATATACATTAGAATTGAATAAAATAATATTATAAAGTTTAATTTATTTTATAATGGAACTAAATATATGAATAGGAATATTAAAAAGCACTAATAAAAAAACTAAATATCCAAATTAAGCATTCTATTAAAGATGAGAGAGTAACACTATGCTCTTGTTGAGAGTTGAACTCAAGACCTCCTACTTACTAAATAGGTGCTCTAACCAACTGAACTACGAGAGCTAATTGATGAATGTAACATGAGTTAGAGCATAAGATAGATATATTGAAGATGAAAGAGTAACAACATACTCTTGTTTAGAGTCAAACTCAAGACTTCCAGCTTACTAAACGGGTGCTCTAACCAACTAAGCTACGAGAGTTAATTGATGAATGTAACATGAGTTAGAGAATAAGAGAGATATATTGAAGATAAGAAAGTAACACTACTCTCTTGTTGAGAGTTGAATTCAAGACCTCCCACTTACTAAAGTGGTGCTCTGACCAACTGAGCTAATTGATGAATGTAAAATGAGTTAGAGCATAAAAGAGATATATGAAGATGTGAGAGTAACACCATGCTCTTGTTGAGAGTCGAACTCAAGACCTCCCGCTTACTAAACGGGTACTCTAACCCACTAAGCTACAAGAGCTACCTGATGAATGTAACATGAGTTAGAGAATAAGATATATATATTGAAGATAAGAGAGTGACATTATGCTTTTGTTGCGAGTTGAACTCAAGACCTCCCACTTACTAAATGGGTGCTCTGACCACTTGAGCTACGAGAGCTAATTGATGAATGTAATATGAGTCAGAGAATAAAAGAGATATTGAAGATGAGAGAGTAACACTATGTTTTTGTTGAGAGTTGAACTCAAGACCTCCCCTTACTAAACAAGTGCTCTGACCAATTAAGCTACAAGAGCTAATTGATGAATGTAACATGAGTTAGAGCATAAGGGAGATAATATTGAAGATAAGAGAGTAACACCATGCTCTTGTTGATAGTCAAACTCAAGACCTCCCGTTTACTAAACGCCTGCTCTAACCAACTGAGCTACGAGAGCTAACTGATGAATGTAACATGAATTAGAGAATAAGAGAGATATATTGAAGATGAGAGAGTAACACTATGCTTTTGTTGAGAGTTGAACTCAAGACCTCCCGCTTACTAAATGGGTGCTCTGACCAACTGAGCTACGAGAGCTAACTGATAAATGTAACATGAGTTTGAGAATAAGAGATATATATTGAAGATGAGAGAGTAACACTATGCTTTTGTTGAGAGTTAAACTCAAGACCTCCCGCTTACTAAACGGGTGCTCTGACCAACTGAGCTACAAGAGCTAGTTGATGAATGTAACATGACTTAGAGCATAAGAGAGATATTGAAGATGGGAGAGTAACATTGTGCTTTTATGGATATAACATGAGTTACAGTATAAGAAAGACATTGAAGATGAAAGAATAACATTGTGCTCTTGTTGAGAGTCAAACTCAAGACCTCCCATTTACTAAACGAGTGCTCTAACTAACTGAACTATAAAAGCTAATTTGTGAATCTAACATGACTTAAGAGTATAAGAAAGACATATTTAAGATGATAGAGTAACAATATGCTATTTTTTAGAGTTAAACTCAATACCTCCCGCTTACTAAAAGAGTGTTCTAATCAATTGAGTTACAAGAACTAACTTATAAATCTAACCAGAGTTAGAGTCCAAAAAAGATATTTAACATGAGATAGGAGATAGATTGTATATAGACTATAAAAAAGTTACTCTTTAAAATTCTTTATCCAAAATATTCTTTACAGAATTGTGTGACATACACATACTTTTGTTCAAAGATATATATATAGACTAAAACTTGTTGTTATCTACTTGATGTAAGAGGAACGGTATTGAAAACAATTTAGAGGCCAACAGAGAAATGAATTTAGACAAAACTTTCTACCATTATTGCATAGCATTACAATATACAACAAGATCAAAACATGTCTAAAACTAGCATCGATCAAATCTTTATATTCCAACCTCAAATGTCGATTCAACAAAAGATTTGACGAACATTTAAAACTATTTTAAAAGTTCCAAATAGAAGTAGGAAAAGCTAGCTCTTCTTCATAAGTGTGATCATCATGAACTTGGAAGCTGGACTCAACTCCTCCATGCATGTCAATCATGGCGTCCCAATTGAAATTATTCTCTGCAAATGCTGCAAAATCGTCGTAATCTTTCATTGAAGACTCCATTGCTGTTGAACTTTCTGCAATATCATTATCAGCTGATTCTTCGGGGTTTTTTTCATCCTTCTTTATCCCCAGCTGCTGAAGAAACTCATGCAAATCAATCTGTGGCTTCTCTGATGAAACCTCGACACCTTTCTCCTTCATCCGATGATCTCCAACCACGGTCTTTGATTCACACGAAGAAGAAGATGAGCTCGGTTTCAAAACCCCGTTTTGCTTGAGTTCTTGGAGCCGCTGGTGAATAACATGAACACTGGGTTGAGCGTTTATGTTGAGCAAACCAGGAGAAGAAGAAGGGAACATTGAGATGAAGTTATTGGAAGGGATCCACTTAAACTTGTGCAATCTGTTGGACGGATTATTAATCGGGACTTGTTGAAGGTGGGGGAGGTTAAGGTAAGCTTCGGGGCCGTATAGTCGTCTCGCGGCCTCATCGTACGCCATGGCGGCTTCCTCGGCGGTGGCGAAAGAGCCTAACCAGAGCCTGGTTCGTTTCTTTGGCTCTCGTATTTCGGCCACCCATTTGCCCCAGGTTCGTTGGCGGACGCCTCGGTACTGGCAGGAAGCGTTCTGAGGGCCGCCTTTGCCTCGAGTTGGACCTTTCTTCCATGGCTTCAATGGCGATCGTTTGTAGGTGTCCATTGGGATGAAGAACATGCGAGTGGAGTTGAGAGAGTGAAGCTGTGGAACCATGGGAGTGAATGGCGCGGGATTTGTAGGCAACGGGAGAAGGTGTAGAAGGTTTAAATGCTTTCACGTTCGTTCAAGCTCTTGTGACCGTTAGCAGGAGCCAGAAATATTTTCAAGATCTCGTCAATGGAAACCCCATATTTATTCATTTTACACCCTCAACAAGATTCAACTCATCTTCCAGTTTAGATCATTAGTGTTAAACCCCATACCATGTTTTAATTAAACGATAGGTTTGAGAAACGTTGATCAAAAATGAAATTAGTTTGAGTTGTAATGGCGGCCTTGGATTCTATGAGGGACTTGGAGTGTAGTAAATAAGTGAAAGATGATGTGAGAAGTGCACCTCACAAACATTGGAAACATTCACGAGCCAACCATCACATGTTTTACTGCCATTCTCCACCTGATTCCCGCCCTTCACCTCTTTCCCATGCCTCTCAATCTCTCCATATTCCTTCAAGGTTTTCACATGTTCAATTGCTATTTACTATCACTGTTACTTTGACTGCATCTCCATCTATATATATAAATAAATATGAAAATAAATACCATTAAAAAAAATTATGTCATGGGTGAACTTATACAATTTTAAAGGAAGACGAGCTTATAAAGTTAAAAAAAAAACAGATTTTTAATAAAAAATATAAATAAAATATTTAAAATATATAAAAATTTAAAATTTTTAGGAGACAACTGTCCCACTCGACCCTTCGATTTATCTCTCCTTAGGTAAAGTTAGAAATTTTGGGAGAGAAAAAATAAATGTACTTATATCTATTTTAATTTTTTTAACTCAATTAATACGAAGTCACCACCATGTTAAGAGTTAAATTTGGTCACTGCTTGGGGTTTGGTCGCTTTGGGCCTAACAAATTCACAAGCAATTAACGCAGTTAACTAAGGCCCAAGGCCTTTCTCTGCCTTAGTTATTGTTATTATTATTATTAATATGAGGTAAGTATATGGTAATATATATTTAAAGATAACTCTTAACATTTTAATATTAAACGCTCATACTCTCGACATTCCTAGTGCTCGAACTGAGACTTTAAGGAATAATAACAATTCTTTTACCACCGAGATCACTAATAAATAACAATGATTAAGTTTATATTAGATAATAATGGATGAAAAATTAATGGATAAGACCTTGACTTGATTCGGTCGAATTAAGTTTATATTATTTATTTGTAGTAATATTCTCTCTCACTTAATTTTCTAATCATCTTGTTATGATCTCTCTCACTTAATCTCCCTTAGGGTGCGTTGGTTCACGGAATGTAAGATTACCAATAGGAATAAAATATTATCAAGGAATATGATTACTGTGAATGTTGTATTTTGTGTTTGGTTTGTTTATCAGGAATGTAAAATTACTATATTTGGTTAGAGGAATAAAAGATTATTGGAATGTATATTTGACCAAATTGTCCTAATTATATATATATATTTTAACAAGTTGGAATATATATATATATATATATATTCTTTAAAAAATTTAAATTCATAAAATTTATATAATTTTTTTTAAAAAATTGAAAATATAAAAAAGTTTAATGAAATGGTAAAATTTTATTTTAACCCTTGAACTTCATATAAAATTTTAATTATAGACTTTTTTTGTAAATCTAAAATAGTTAAAGGATAAATTTGTAATTTAACCTTCGTAGAATTTTATTATTCAATGATAGAATAAGGATATTTTTGAAAAAAAAAATTAAGGACATTTTAGTCCAAAACGTCGGTAATCCAATAATACTTAAGGGAAGAGGGTAATGACATTCCCGGTAATATACCCCAAAAAATTCACTATTGGTAATAAAACATTACCGAGAATGAGATTCCCGACCCACCAAACAGGGGAGTGTGGATTCCATTCCCATGGGAATCCCACATTCCCCGAACCAAATAACCCATTAGGATTTCAAGATGGATATATTACATTCTAAGGTAAATGTCTTTGAACTCATACAAGCGAGAACGAACTTAGGATCTTATGTTAGGCTTCTAAATTTTAGGAGAGACGAACTTATAAAATTTTAAGGGTTAAAAATAAATTATCACTAGAAAAAATTAAAAAAAATAAAATATATATTAATTTGAAATTTTCAGGGTCTACTGCTCCAACTCGTCCCTCTATCTATCCCTGTACACAGAGTGTGACAACATAAACATCATTGATCACTCAAACAATTAATGGATCTCAACGATCAATCAATCTTATCTACCTCGCATGCTACTTATCATGGAACTATTCACAAAGTTTGCAAAAATTCGACACCTTAGGCACAATTCGTAGGTTGACATTGATACATTCATCAATCTTCGTAAAACCGTGTTCCATCCTTATCGTGATTCGGTAGAGTTTTGGAATAAACATTTAATTTCTTCTCAGTGGTAGTAGTTAATTGCTGCTGTAAGATTTCATTGGATTTTACTTCGAAATACTTGTTTAAAACCCTAGCTATAGTCCTTATTCATACACAATCAATCACCATTGCCAGTCTCATCAGGTTAGCAACACCTATCTGGTTTTGAGCTCCTCGAAAATGGCCCGAACCGCGACGAGAAATCCTAGAAGACGTTATAGACGGCGGCGAGAGGTCGAAAGAGATAGCGATGCGGGATCGTCGACGGATAACAATGGCTTCCAAGCTTTGCAGAGTGACACTGGATCATGTTGTACTCCAAAGGGGAAAGGGTTCAAAATATCAGAGATTTCGGCTTGTCCGCCGGCTCCGATGAAACCCAAAGTTGCTCCGAAGATGTCGTTGAGTACTAGGACCTTCATTGCTTCACAAGATGTGGAGATCTTCTTCTTCCTTGCATTTCAAAAATGTCATTAGTTCTTTCTCTTATTTGACTATCAAGTCTTCACGTATCAATGAACTACTGCTTCAGCCTGTTAAGAAGGTCTAAATCTTTAATGTAATGGTAATGGATGATGCGTTTTCCTTTATGTTTAACTAACATTAGGATGATCCTCTGAACTTTTAAACCCTAAATATTACGCCTCGAAATCCCTGTTGGGAGACTCACCCACCAAAATAAAGTGTGTGACGCGGGTCGGTCCGAATTAATTAAGGCAAAGCCTTGAAACCGGCAACCAAAAACAAATAATCAATAATGCATTCAATATTCTTCAGCTTTCTCACACTTTCCTTCATGAACTTTTTCCACTTGATAGGGACATCATGATCATTTAATGTATAATCTTATCTCCATGAAATATGTCGTCGCTGCTAGCTTTTATGCACATGTTACCTGCTAGATTGTTTTGTTGTGTTATTTTTTTTCGTTGCCCACTCGGTTTTAAGGTTTTATCTTGATTACTTTGGACTGACCCTCATCATACACATAACTTTAGTGGTTTTGTTATGTTGATTATCACTTTATTAATATAGTTTTTGTCAAACCATATTCAAAACTCTCGAACTTAAACAAAAAAATTCATCATTTGTAGAAGTTTGGGAGCTTTCTCAGATTTGATGGATTTGGTGTTTGTTCGAAATTCCAAACAATGAGAAGTGGTCTTTCGAAAAAACAAATAACTATATACCTCAAAACTAGTCTTATCAGACGATCGTCGAAGGAGATCAGAGCGAAAACTACACCTTCATCTCGATCAAAGGTGGGATCCCAGATCGCTTGAAGCTTCCTATTCGCCTTTTGGCTAGCACTTGGGATCGTTCAAAAATAAATTGACATATTCTCTTGTAACTTCAGTGCATAAGCATTGCCAGTTAATCTTCTTTCAAATGCCATAAAGCCCACACTTCTTCAATTGTAGCTCGTTATATATACATGCCAACGGGAATCTTTCCTTCCACAAGACTTCATAATATCACCTCTTAACTAGGGGTGCATATAGAGTTAGTCGATCGCGAGTTGGGCAGTATTAGATTCGTGCTCGTTAAAAAATTTTGTTGCTACTCGACTCGTTACTCGTTAAGCTCGTTAAAATTGTGCTCGAATCGTGCTCGTTAAAAAAATTTGTTGCTCAACTCGACTCGTTGCTTGTTAAGCTAGACTCGTTGCTCGTTAAGCTCACTAAAAAAATTATCTTATTTTTTTAACTAAAAATAAAATTTACTAATACTATATTAGGATATTAGGGTTGTGTTAGTTTTTTTGGTATTAAAATAATATTATTAGTTAATAATATTTTATTATTTATTAAAAACTAATATATTAGTTAATTTATTATTTATTATTTATTATTAATAATTATTATTTAGATTTAGTTTTTGAATGAAATAATTTTGAAGTAATTACTAAAAATATATTTTAAAAATTTAACAAGTTGATCGCGAACCTATCGAGTCGAGTTAGACTTTGCTCGGCTCAACTCGTTAAGGTCTCGAGTCGAGTTCGAGTCGAACCAACTCGAGTCGATCGTTTATCGAGTCGAATTTGAACTACTCACGAGCTGCTCCGCATCCTTACTCTTAACATATGCTTTAATTCTATTTTAGTCATTTGTCATTAATCTTAATTCGTCTACTTAATGAAAATGATGATATGGAATAATATAATAATAATTTTAATGTCAAATTTACATGGTGTGTATGTCAGAGGAAGTGGCAAGGGAATCCAATGTAATGAATACTTTCAAATGAACATATTGGTTAATCATGCGTTAGGTAAATTTAAATTATAAAAATATTTGTTATAATTTTATAAAAATATTATTTTGAAGTTTAATTTTTTTATTTAATTATTAGTATTTTATCTATTAATCGATTAATCTGAATCGAGTATTGTATATACTTATTGTGAAGATTATATTTTTAACCTAATTTACTCTATTCACAATATCATCATTTAAACTCTAAATTATAAAAAAAATACACATAAATCATAACCCTAGATAATTAGAAACAATACTTTATAATTATATTGAATATACCAAACAATTTACAAAAAACCATACTTTAAATATCATAACAATTCTTGACACCATCAAATCATATATGAATAGTTGCAACACCTCCCATCTTCAACCTATAAACCCAGAGCTCCAATCATCTGTTAAACAAACAAAAAATATCGTTTTAATTAACATATAGTTTTAATTAATGAAGAATTATTGTTTTTAATTTATTTTCATGCAGCCCTGTTTGATCTGTTAGTGCAGCACCTTCCTCTCGTGGCCGACTGAATTATCACCTGCCCGACGCCTTCTCCGATCCCTTCGATCAGCCCGCCGATGAACTCGATCACCACCTGCGAAGCGACCCTCGCGGCGGTCGCGACCATGCTCGGTTTATCCAACCCTTTGATCCCATTGGCTTCGAGTCCATTCACCATGTTCTTGGCACAGACCGCGTGGAGATGGTAATCACAGACTGTGCATTGGTACACTCTCCCCGACCTACGACGGTTGCACTCGCCACACACAACGCCGGTGGGGTCCGAGCTCGGCGACAGGCCCGGCAAGAGCCGGAGCGTGTGCGGGTGGACCGAGATGTTGATTTGGGTTGACAACATGGCGCAGCATGGGTGCATTTGGAAAGTGCAGGCATTGCATTTGAAAACGCAGCCTTTGGTGGGTTTGGCACAGATATCGCACCGAGATTTCAATATTCCACCTTTAACTGAAATTTCAATATTTTATCATAAAATTGTATCAATAATATTAATATTATTTTTAATCTTTTATTTATATTTCAATATATATATATATATTATTTATTTCAATATTTGTCAAAATGTCTACACTCTATAGCCGCTACATACAGATAAATTAAAATAAGCTACAAAATACGATAATAAATTGTCAATATATATATTACAAAATTATTAATTTATCAAAAAAATTTATAATACCTTATATAATATCATATATAAAATATACAAATAAAGCGTTAATATATATTTTCTTTCGACCTCCGCCGCATGTATATATTTATGTATCTAAATTAGGGATGGCATATGACACGAATTCGATGGGCTCTGACCCGATCTGATCCTACTCAATCGGGTCGGGTTTTTTTTTTTAAATTTAGGTTTGGGTTGGGTCGGGTTCGTGTTTAGGATGAAAAATATCCGACCCGACCCGAAAAATAATTATAATTTTACTTTATATATTTAAAAATAATTACAATAATACCCCTCTATATATTATTTTTTTCAATTAAGTCATTATTTTTATTGAATAAAAATAATATTTTTTATTGTTTCGGATCGGGTCAGATTTTTAAGATATATATCGGGTCTGGTCGGGTTAAATCTTGTTTTGGTCGAGTCGGGTCTCGGGTGGAAGATCCCTTGATCTCGGATTGGGTCGGGTGGACCAAAAACCCGACCCATGCCCATCCCTAATCTAAATATAGAGTTGAATCAAGTAAAATGTTTGGAGTAGTCAATTATTTGGAAAATTCTAGATATTTTTTTTTATATTTTTATTGATAATTTAATTTTATATATCCAAAAATTTTACAATTCTATATTATTAATTTTTTATTTATTTTTTTAAAAAATCATACCTCTAAAGATGTATGACATAAAATCTTATGTACACCACTATGTATGTATACATATACATACAAACTTATATGTATTTATATATATTGGAATCTAATTGCCTTTACTAGCTATAGCTATGTTATTATATTATTTAATACATATGTATATATTCTTTCAAAACCCCACTGCATGTATATCTTGTGTATGAATTCATCAATATACATATGTTATGATTTTATATTAAGGATGAACTTCTAAAATTTTAGGAGAAAACGAACTTAAAAATTTAGAGGAACAAAAATATATATCTAAAATATATGATAATTTAAAATTTTAAGAATGATAATTGCGCTCTCCTCGATCATCCATGTGTGTGTATATATATATACATACTTACTTATATGTAGGGATGACAACGGGCCGGGTTCGGGCCGGGTATTGGTCCCCCGTCCCCGTTTAAAAAACTCGTACCCATCCCCGCTTAAAAAACCGCAGGGATTTAAACGAGGATCCACATCGGGTAATCGGGGAAAACCGCGGGAAACAGGTATCCCCGTTTAGCATAAACGGTTATTTAAACGGGTATCGGGCCGGGTATATATATTTAAATTAAATATATAAATATTATATATATATATTTTAATTTAATTTAAATTTATTAATATTATATATATATATATAATAATTATTTTTAATATTTATCGGGCTGGGTAATCGGGGCGGGGATTACCAAACCCGTCCCCGTTTAGCATAAACGGTTTTCCGTCCCCATTTAATTCGATTTTCGGTTTTCCCCGTCGGGTTCGGGTTTTTTTACCATCCCTACTTATATGTGTATTTAGGAATCTAATTGCCAGCTAGCTAAGCTATTGCATTATTAATATTATTTCAAACCTCCATTGCTTGTAATATCTATATTATTAAGTGTAAAGTTCATTTGACTCCCTCTTTGTAAGCTGGTGGGTTTAGGTTTTTTTGTTAATCGAAAATGAAGCTCATTGTGGATATTATTTTTTTTTAATATTATGATTATTTATTATGCAAAAAGATGAACCCTTAATATATGCTACTTAATTACAATTTACGAAGGAAAGATGAAGCAAATACCAGGTTTAGTGATGAAAACGATGTTGTGAAGAGGGTGGATGGGGGTGTCTCTTAAGAGTTGCAGGAGCCAAGGCACAAAAATCATGGAGCTGATAATCACACTCAGTGCAAGAGAACCGTTCGCCGGCACCGTACTCCTTGCATGCACCACAGGTGAAGAGGTCCGGCAAGCTGGTCTGCGTAATAGGGTGCTGCGGGTGAGTCACATGGAAGATCCCATCTCCCATAGGAGGAACCTCGGGTGACGTCGGGAATAACTCCGTTGCGTGAG